ACTTAATTCTTCATGACGAAAATAAAAAAACGACCATATTAAATGAAATCAAGAGAAAATGGCCAATGTGGAATAAGAAAATGTTATAATTAATTTCTCATCAAAGAAACAAATTAACACATTTAAACAATACAAAATCAGGTTTTTATTGAGTTTTCGAAAATAATTCGTTTTTTTTTTAAATTGGGGAATTGGAATCGAGTATAAGTCGAAAAGTGAGGAAGACTGAAGTCATTTTTATAAGGGCAATAAGTGGTGATGTAATGAACAAGCTATCTCTCTAGATCAATTACAACTGAGTAACGAGTTCGACCCTATCTATTTCGATCGTCACTGGGTCTTACGGACTTTCTTAGTACAGATAGATTAAAAGGCACTCATAGATAAATAGATTAAAAGAAACTATATAGAAAGATAAGATATAAATAGCAAGGATTCATACATATTTAAACATAACTAATTTCAGCCGCCAATTTCTGTTTGTTTAATTTGTAATGTTTTCTTTTCGAATAAAAAATCGTGGCTGTAAGAAAATTTGTATGAATTTACTCTCTCTCTCTCTATATATATATATATATATATATATATAAAGTTTAGAACATTGTATACATAATCAAGCTTGAATTAGTTCGTTTCGTATTACCGAATAGATAAGAAACATTTATTCTCGCCAAGACTCCATTGTGTCTGCTAAGACTCCAGCGATGACATACGAAGTTAATTACAAATCCTTTAACGTCTTCACTTTTGATAGATCCGAACACGACACAACGAGTGGAGGGCTGCGCCGCTATACGTTAGTATCAAAGCTGCAGGTGACAGCTGACAAATGACACATGCAAGAGATTAGTGCATTCAGGCAATGCAAGAAGCGTCAGACATTTGAGATTTGACATTAAATAGGCAGGAAGTTGAAGGCTGCAATCGCTGTAAATGGGAAATTGGAAACTCATCAAAACACCGAACGAAAATCATCAGGAGAAAAAGTAGTATTTTTTTTTGTTGTTTCGCATACGCAGATAGACAGTCGTTTAATACAAAATTCACAAAATCTGCTGTCTGAAACGACATTAATATATTTATATCCGTATGTATGGTTATACAATGTATGTTCTTTGCTTAGAGGTTACTGATTTGACCTGTCCACACACATCAACTGCGTCGTATTGGGACCTTTCCTAAAAGCATCAGAATTGCCATCATTGTACTCACATGGGCAGAAATACACTGACGTGCCAAAAGGCAACATATAGGAGCTTAGTATGGGGTCCGATCCAATCAGTGGATTTACCTAAAGTGAGATCGATTCGTCAAATTCCGAAAAGGATTTTCCAGAAATTTTAAACCATACCAATTCGTTAGCTCTTAAACCCTATTTACTATTTTATTAGTTGTACGATCTTTCCTTCGAATATTACTCTTTTAAAACTATGCCGTCTCGTTTCCTATTAATCCTTATTTACCATTGTATTCCTGCAAATCGTACTCAACTTGACGTCCCACAAATACTCGGCTGACCACATACCGAATTCAACCATTTGTCAAAAATTTTCCCAATGCGCCACAAGCCAATTCTATCTTGCTTGGAATTAATGGCAATGCATTATCCTAATGGCATAAACCCATCGACGGGTGGGAATTGACGCATAACAATGCAAACTAGCGACCACAAATGAAGCGGGCCAAAGCATGCCTGACATGACACGTTAGAACACCTCACGCTCTTACGGAATCATTGCAAGCCTGAAGGTTGCCTTATTACCATTTTGACTACATGACCCACTGTAGGCTAATAAAAACTGGGAAGGTGACTAATAAGATCACGTCACAACTTGATATTTCCTCAGGCGCCAATCAGCGTCGTCAGAAGCCCAGGTCTGTCGCTGGAATTGGCAAAATGCTACATTTAATGGAACCTACAGAAAACTGCCCCGACGGATGTTCGTCACTTACCTCGCGCATTAATTGTGGAAGTGATATGAGCCCGTATGTTAGAACAGACACTTCTATGTAGATACCTTTTCTCACGAGAATTATATACATGTAGTCACTGACTGTGCTGTCTGCTGCGGGCAGTAACGCTTTTTTATGGGAATTTTGTCCTTTCGATTAAACCATATCAAATATCCCCATAATTTTTAGTAATGTTATGTCTCATTCACCTAACACTTACTATCATGCCCGTTCTAACTGCGATAATTCACTTCACCTTGCTATGAGCAGTCTCGCAGATATTCACGCTGTCCACCAGCTGTCAAAACACAATCCACATAGTTGAAGCCATTTCAATTACCTGAGGTTACGGTGGCACCACTTACTATAATATTTATGTACTATACTGTCATAAATTTTGACGCATCATTGTATTTAAACAAGACAGAAAGAGGAATTATCAATCATTAGTGAACACGACGCGGGACTCGTTATTGATGAAGGAAAACGAAACATCAGCAAGTTTTCCAATTCAGCAGCAGAAAAAAAAGAGATAACCTGATGAATGGAGTTAAGCGTAACAAGCATGAGCAACAGTAAGATAAGGTTTAAGGCTCCAAGTTCTACACTCAGAATCGTCCCACTAGTGTTTATTCGTGAATTTCGTGATATATTAATGCTGGGTTCAATCCGTCATTCGAGAAGCGAAGACTTAGAGTCAGTGGTAACCGAGTGCGGATAAACTGAATTGTACTAAAGAAAAACAGAGATTTCCGTAGATATGATCAATGGTTCGGTCCCAAATTCCCCTGAATGCTATCAAATATCAGCGAGCAACTTATTAAGGACGGCAAGCAAAACGGCCGAAATGATATTATAATAACAAAAAGGATGAGGATAATAATCCGCGTGTAAATAACGTAATAATAATTTAATACCTGAGAAATAAAGTCATTCAACTATTTTTGGATGTGTTTGATTTGTATACTAAAGATTATCAACCGATTGCGTGTTATTTAAAGCGAGTACATTTTTAAGATTATTAGAATTTTCTTTAAGTTAATAATGATTTAGTGAAACATGTCTGATTAATTAACCCATAGCTGGGGCGAGAAGAGATGGATTCATATCTTCCCCAGTGGTATTTGCGGGTAAGTGAATATAATGAACCCGATGGGAATTTGAACTCGGATCTCCAATTAATGATTCTGAGGCATTTTGCATTACGCCACAAGCATATATCCAAGCTTACAGCACCTGGTATTCCCAAGCGGTTACCCATCTAGGTACTGACCAGGCTCGACGTTGCTAAACTTCGGTGACTGTACAAATGAAACTGAGATATTGCCATAAAATAAGCGGAACGTTTCACCTGGATAATAAGTATCACTCTCAAAACGTTCAAGTCAATCGGTGTAATTATTAAGGCGGGACAGTTATTTTTTGAATTAGAACAACCGTACAATTAAGAAACAGCTTCAGCTGTCATCACGGACGAAATGTAAACATCCGTGAGAATAACTATATTTCAATATGTTTAATACGAATGTGATATTGTTTAGAAAGTAAAAAGAAAAAAAAATCATTTTTATGGAGCAATACAGGGTGTCCATAAAGTTTGTGTGCACTTTAAAAAAATTATAACTTTATTTGTATTTGCGATAGAAATAAAATAATATATATATATATATATATATATATATATATATATATATATATATATATACCGTGTGTAACAACAAAATTGTTCTAAAAAAATTTAACAGCGAAATTGTGCAAATGTTAGATTAAAATTTGAACCGTTGATTCTTAGGAATGATTAAATATATTTTACTGGAATTCTCTGAGTCTTTTATAACACTATTAGACTCTACTTTGAACATGACAATGCATTTAGCTCTAAGATGAAATGATGATCCCTCTTCCTATTGTGACCTCCTGATCCAGTTTTCCTCTCTACTCTCTCCTCTTGTTTAAACTTATTCACTGTTCTCTTGGTGGTTCTTAAAGGTACTTTGAGGATGGAAGCCAGAGTATGAATGTTGGTTTTAAGTATAGCTAAAGTAACTAATGTGATTTCAGGCATTACTGCAAATCAGTTGGCAAATGTTTTCCGTGAACTGCAAAATCGTATTACCCTTTGTATTGTTAATGATGGAGGACCTGTGGAAACTTAAATAAAATTTCACTAAAACCTTACAAAATATAGATTTTCTTCTTTCTAAGCTTTTTTGCAAATTATTTCAATCGCAAATACAAAGAAAGTTATAAATTTTTTAAAGTACACACGAACTTTATGGACATCCTGTATTTTAGCTGAATGGAGTACGTAATGAATTTTTTTAAAATTAGACATCTGCGAATTTATTAATGCGAACGACTCAGTGACAGCTTGCAAAATAAATTGTTTTCAGAATTCTAAGGCAAAATTTGCTTTGCCAATCAATGGCGAACGAATTGCAACGTGTGATGCAGCATTCACAGCAGTAACCGAGATCAATCGTTCCGGACCGTTGAACATTGTAGTACATTAACACGCACATACATATATATATATATATATATATATATTAAGACATTTTATGTTTATACATTCTTTTTATAGATACAAATATTTAAGTAAATGTTCTGTTTATAATAAACAGTATTAAACAACATTTAATAAAATTGTGTGAAAAAACTATAATAAAAATTGGCGAAAAAACTATAATAAAATTACGGGAAAGAAAAGAAACTATAATAAAGTCGGAAAATAAAAAGAATAATAAATATCGGAAAATAAAAAAAAAGTATTAGACAAGTCGGAGAAGAAAGAACAATAATAAAAGTTGGGAAATAAAAAAAAAAAAACAGGATAATAAAAACTATCAAAAAAATATCAGGAAAGAATAAACACTATATTAAAATCGGGAAAGAAAAAATTAAATAAAGGTCTTGAAAGAAAAACCATAGTAAAAATCGGTAAATTAAACCTATAATAAGATTCGGAAAAGAAAAAACTACAATAAAAGTTTTTAAAGAAATAAAACTATAATGGGACAGTAATTGATGTCGGAGAAAAAAAAAACCTATAATAAAATCGAGAAAGAAACACTTATACTAAATGCCGGGAAAGAATAAATACTGGACAATAAAAAACGGGAAAGAAATAAAATTATAATAAAAGCTGGGGGAAAAAAAAAACTATGATAAATAAGGAAAAAAAAAAAGATAATCAAAATCAGGGGGCGGGGAACTATATTAAAATTCAGGAAAGAAAAAATTATAATAAGTGTTGAGAAAAATAACGGATATAAAGTCTGGAAAGAAAAAAACTACAAAAAATATCGGGGAAAAAATTATAAGGGTCTGGAAAGAAAAAAATATAATAAAAGTCGGGTAAGATAAAAATCTATAAGTAATGTCGGGAACGAAAGTCTATAATAAAATTCGGGTAACAAAACATAATAAAAGTTGGGAAACTGTTATACCGGAACGTACCTATTTCTATTGGAAATAGACTTTCCCACCTATAATAAGTAGTAGTAGTAGCAGTCGCCAGTGAAGCTCAGTGAGTTGGTCTGATTTCAGTCTGAAATCGGACGACCGGCTGACCGGTTGAACTCTCTGCCTTCGGGCGGGGAGGAACCCGAACGAGGCTACGCCGAAGTCTCTTTCGGGGAGGTAAACCGACCCTGAACCCGTTTATACGGGTTCAAAGGGCATATTCTTGGCCGAGCCCACGGGCTCGGAGATCCCACGTTAAACCGGCCTTGTGCCACATGATTCCCTCGTGGAGGGGTGACTAAATACTGCTCAGTGAGTTGTGTGAGTCAGTCGATGTCGGACATTAAAGTATGAGCCCCACAACTAGATTGTTGCGTCATTAACTATTATTTCAAGTTCCTAACTTTTTGTACGTCGAACCTAATTTAGGACCGACTTGGTACAAATACAAGCCACCACTGTGAAAATTACTCTACAACAAAAACAAAACCTGTATAATAAACGTGGGAAAAGAAAAAAATATATTCGTGGAAGAAAAATGTATAATAAAATCATTAAAGGTAAAAAGGACATTACAAGTTAGAAAAGAAAAAAAATATAATAAAAGTCCAAGAAAATTAGATTTCGGCATTAAATGACCCATAAAGAGTTTATGTGCCGCTAAATAAACAAACTTAATATGTTTAGTTGGGTATCAGTTCGAACGCTAAACTCACGATACCCGCCTCTTGACGTATAATGGGTCATACTTCGTGAAAACGCGAGCAGCTACACGACAGTCGAACGTGGAAAGAGCGTGCATTGTGAGAGATTAAAATATTCAGCTCGAAGAGTAACCGCTTCTCATGATGCCGTCCTCTTGTTTCTGTTGGAGGACGAAGTGAAATGAAATCGTCCGTGCAGCTACCATCGAAGCGAAAGTAAGTCGGCCGACTTCGCAGAAGCCGTTTGTAACGCAAAGTGAAACTAATTGAAAAGCGTAGATTAGCTTCAACTCACGAAAGCATGTATTAGAAGTCCATCGATCGGTGTTTCGATCACGTGTCTAAAACTGGTGTTTTTTTTTCTCTCTCGCTCTCTTTATTTGTACTTCTCAGACGATAAGATGTGTGGGCCCCTTATTATCTCAACCACAACCAACTCCTCTTCTTTTTCTTCCTCCTCTTCCTCTTCCCTTACTAACCGCTTTTTTTTTTTTTTTTTTTTTTGCTCCTCACTTTTATTCTCTTATTATTTATTTCTTTTCTTCTCTATTTAATTTTGTCTTTCTTTTAAGCTGTTCAGGTTTCTTGGTTATTTATTAAGTAGGTAACAATTTGCCCCCCTTTCACCAGCGCTAAATATGACACGAGATCAATTTTGCATATGTGGAGCCATCCACTTATTGAATCCAACACGTGTCGAGATTCTGTGCTTTCTTGTCTAATGCTATTCTACCCGGCCGATTTTTTCGGCTGGGGGTTTTGACAAATATCGGATCGTTTCTTGGCCTATGGCTGAGATTCGATCAAGGCTTTGACTAGCTTGGACTGGCTCCGGCCTGGACCTGTTAGGACAAGTCATGACCTGCTTTGACTAGGCTCTGACCAGCTTGGACAAGCTATGACCAATTTTGACCGGTGGCCTTTGAGTGGAAAAACTCGGGTTTCCCACGTTAAACGACCTTGTATCACATCTTGACTTAGTGGGAGTCAAGTAAATACCTTCTTGTCTAATGCTAAAGAGATGCGTAGGATGGGAATTGCCATGAATTGGGCCTACGAAGTATTAACTCTAAGAAAATAGTGTGTATGAACTTCAGCAAGAGTGACAACCTATGTTTTGAGGTACAAATCATAGACGTCAGAAACAATCAGCTACATATTTTTTTTAATCAGTCACCCCAAGCAAGGCTATAATGCTACTAAGATGGAAGGGGCTACTGGGAGTGAAGGAGAATGAATAAACTTTAGAAGTAACCATTTAATTATTTGTGTTGGATTGTAAGAGGCGACGAAAAAAGAATGATACAGAAATCGGAAGGCTCAGTGGAATAGATAAAGATGCCTTCCAGAAAATCTGCAATGTATTAAAAAAAAGAAAAAAAGACGTTAGAAACAAAGAACAGAATGCTTAACGTATCCGTATCTATTTTATTTTATATGACACTTAATGATGGATTATTTTCTCTTCTGTCATGATTTCTTGAGAAATGTAATGGATTGTTTCCATGAAAGTGAATTCAGGGGTCTGCCTTTGCCTCGACAGGCTGTCAGCCAAGGTTTGAAAAAGAAACAGTCTGCCCTTTATCAGTCTATCAGTTACTTCCCTATAGCCGTAACTTTGTGAGCCTATGCCTTTTCGATAAATACTTTCATGGTGATTGTTCCGATATACTCTTCGCTGTGGTACCTAGAATGGCGGTAAGGTCTCCTAAACAGTTTCTTCTCTCGCACTTCTCGCCTGTGGAACTCTCTTTCGGCTTCTTGCTTTCCAGTCAACTTTGATCTTCAAAAGTTTAAATACGAGGTCTATCGTTATTTTTTTAATTTCTGTTCTTTTATTTTTCCCTCTCCTAAATGTTTTTTTTTCTTTTTCTCATTCCCTCACACTCAGTAATCTCCTTCCGTCTTACTGGCATTATTGCCCTTTTGGGGGTGTCATGATTCAAACTAAACAACATTCTGTTAGTTATATCATAGTTAGATATGAAGAAGAGATGGATTCGTCCCTTTCCCGAGGGCATTAATATCTAAGTGAATGCAACGGAATTTAAACGCAAGTCACTGATTTTCCTTTGTCAACGTCGATAACCGCTATGCAACCTGAAAATCAAGCCTATAAGATCACATTCTTTAAATATTGTCCCTATTGATAAAGTAACAAAGGAAAAGAAAATATCTGTGGTCCCTTAAGTATCGAATTTAAAATAGAAGAAGCTTTTTTTTGTGCGACTACCTTGCTAATCACTTATTAACAGTAAGGCATATATAGATGCTTATCTTAGTAGGACACAAGGCCAAACGGATTGAGCATGTTTTAAGTAGCGAACATTAAGCATAGATATGGAGTAAAACGGACATGAGTTTTCATATTAATCAATATCTTTATCCTTCCTTCCACTCCAAGCTTCACACTGGCATTCTGTTCCACTCAACGCTACTAAACACTTCTATTTAATTTCTACTTCAACTGAGAAAAAACAACAACAACAAGAACGCATTATGCTGGCTACAGGTTGCGTGCTTGTCCGAATAACAATTGGTACTGCCAACAAAATCGATGAGATTTCGTTCAGGGGGCGTGGGGCGGGGCGGGACTGGGCGCGTTATACGAACTGGAATCAAGCGGTTTAATCAAATACTAAACCATTTTCTTTTTTTAAATAATGAATCCATTATTTCGACTTTACCAAGGACACAATGTTCGCTTTTCTTCTCTGTTTAGAATGTGAAAATGTTTACCGACGTGATGAATTGTTTACGCCTATTTAGAAAAGAGAGAGGCATGAAACGGACGAATTAATAAAAGCGATTATATTCGCACGAAGACATTCAAGACTCACAATGACGAATTGCATTTTAATATGCAAAGCCGTATCGCTGCCTGCAAAACCAGGATCTGGTCACTAGTGTTGATTTTCTAAGCATAACTTAGATGTCGCACAAGGCGGACAGCATGGGGCGCCCAGTGAGGATCGAATTCCCTATTCAGTCGTAATTGGTCTAGCGAGACATGTTAGATAACCATTACACCACTTCGAAGTGTCTAATGATTTTTTAAGCGGAACTTAAATGTGGCAGAAGGCCGGAAGTACCTAGTGAGGATCGAACTCACTACTCAGTCGTAACTGATCTAGCGAGACACGCTTGCTAACAATTCTATTCGAAGTGCCTCTTTTATGAGTGTAGCTTAGATGTGGCATAATGCCAAAAGTGCAGAGCACCCGGTGAGGAGCGAAGTCACTAGTCAGTTGTAATTGATCTAGCAAGACAAGATCGTTAACCATTACACCACGTCGAAGTGCCCAAATCTGGTAAAGTGATAGGCAATTAGTTAAATTCATAACAAAAAAGGCCTGCTTGTATAGCACATGCACAATTATCGAATATTATAAAATAATATTCTTTTCTTTTCGATTTCGCAACCATTTTCTCCAGTTTCATGTAATTTACTAAATGACCTAATTTGGCCGTTTTAAGGTATAAATATTTTCTCAATATAAATTCATACTAGTATTATTCATTGACCTACCAGTGGGGTCTAGAATCTGCTGACTGTATTACCGCTAAGTGTGTAAGCCGTCTTCTTCTTATATGTGCCGTGTTCATTCAGGACGTAGGCGATGATGGCTCTCCACTTCCTCCTATTCTTTGTAGTTCTCAATATGTTTTGTCTTTTTGTTACTTCTCCCAAACCCTGTTCTGTCATCCGCTTGCTTAAGCCTGGTAGGTATGTCAGGCGTTGCTTTCCCTTATCTCTTTTCCCCTTAATCTGCCTTGTGGCTATCAAATTCTCCAGACCCTCCCTTCTCATTACCCGTGCCAGAAATTTCATCTGTCGCTTCTTTATGTTAAGTATGAACTTCTTCATTGTTTGCATCCTCTCCAAAATTTCATCGTTGCTCACATATTCTGTCCATGATATCCTTAGCATTCTTTTGTAGAACCTTAACTCCGTTGCCTCGAGTCTCTTCATCATTTAGGCGACCTCTCCTAATATTCGCTGCCGTGATGGAGGACATATATCACGTAACAGTTCAATACGATTTTCTTTCTTACGAACGAAATCCTTCTGCCTCGTAATACTCTGCCTAGATTTTGGTCTTGAAGCTTCGCATATGGAGAACCGATGTTTGTTTTAGACCCCAAAATAGCCACGTCCAGTATTTGCTTATAGATTCAAGTATCAACCAAACTAATATTTAGATATAAACTCACTTGTAAAACAGAATAATACAGTCTCAAGTATAAACAGAACCCGTTTTTCTAATAGACTCCAGTATTAACCCCGTCAATATTTAATATGGCTTACCGTATACTCTCGTGTATAAGGCTATTTCAAGTAATGCGCGACATCTGATATTTTTGAATGAATTTTAAACGCTCCAGAAAAAATCCTGTTTATATTACAACCGTACATTGGATTATTTTTAATCTCTTTACAAAAATGACCTGTGTATAATGTGTCCCCGTATTTTTTGCGTGGAAAACTGACCATACTCACACTATAGCAATTTTCCAAGCGTAGCTTAGATGTGGCACAAGGCCGAAAGTATGGTGTACCCAGTGAGCATCGAACTCACTTCTCAGTCGTAATTGCTCTAGCAAGACAAGCTTGCTAAACATTACACCGCCTCGAGGTGCCCATACTCGCACTATACTTGGGTATATACCGTAATAATAAGCACACATTGTTTGGCTGTAGACGCAATTATAAAGTCTCTGCTTACGAGCTCAAAAATAATTTTAAAAATCGAGTCCAAAAAGTACTTCAACAGGTGTTTTTTTTTTTGTCGAAATATACATCAAGCAAACCAAATTTTTATTCAATTATTATTTTCCCTGATTTTTTATGATCACTTAGCAAATTATGTTTACCTTCGTTATAAGAACGATTCTGGTTTTTAGTCAATTGCTTTCCTAGAATCAATTATTCAGTATGCCCATCCCACTAGAATTGCTACCCGGACAAAGGGAGCTGATTGGAGTGAAACAAAAAAGTACTTTTGATCACGGATCTATTATCGTTTACTGTGCTAGATTACTAACATGAAACGGCTGTTGTCCTACAGTAATATCACTGGTTCACCTTTTTGTCCACAATAAATGTTTATCATCTTGCAAGGCGTAATATAGATTAACCAATTGATCACTCTTGTTCAGGTTTCACCAATTTGTAATATCGTAATGATTAAGTTACTTCAAATCAAATCCAAAACACGTCCCAATGGATTAAAGTGTTGTTTTGGAGACACAGTAATTGTG